TTTCGTGAAATTGCAAAGTTTCACATTAAAGTGGAAATAAAAACTGAAACGTGAAATAAAATTTAATAAAATATACGTATTATTACATACTCATAAAATCCTATTTTTCATAATCGTATATATCAATATAATTACGAAGATTTATATATGTTTTTTTATTAAAAATTGCACAAAGAAATACGATAACAGAAAGATTTATACATATATAAAATTGTAAAAGGAAACCAGAAAATTAAAAATCTTTTGCTTTTAATAACTTATAACTAAAGTCTACAACAGTATAATAATTATTATATATATATATTTCTAAAATTGACGATAGATATAAATAAAAATGACAGCTGTCATGCCGTTATGTCTGATATTAATCCACGGAATGCATTTGCATGTGAATGCAGTTAATCTTTACTAGACTATATAGAAAAGCATGTAGATTTTCGCCGAAAAAGTTTAAGTCTATGAAGCCTATAGTTTCTTGCATGTCCGGTTTCCTCGGCATATCATTTTTAATCAGTTTTTACCGCAATTCATGAAATCATAAATATATTTACATTTGTATAGGTTTCTTATTAAATCTGATTAGGGCGTCGAGTATAATTTTGCAAAATATTATGCAAATTACATATAATAAATTTAAAAAATTCTATAATTATAAAATAAAAGATAAGAGTTGTATAATGTATTGAAAATATTTGAAAACGAAAAATTGAAGAGTGCGTAAGTACTCATTCGATCGTCAATCTCGCTTTTGCATCCCCTATTTTGCTTTTCATCTCCCGGGTGCATTTATAATTAGACGGTTGACGGTTACGATGGTTGACGATGATTGTGAACACACGACGTAAACCTTTGTAGAGAGCTTTTGAGCTTGCAAAGTCCAGTGCGCTTGCTAATTGGTTCGCTGCTCTTAATTGCGCCGTAGGTTGCCGGAACGATACTTGATAGATGGAGTGTTCGCTTTTCTGACTTCCCTATAAAATGAATCTCTCAGTGGTTGAATCATTCGAGTCCTAAAGAAATCGATAACACTATATTCACAACAAAATATGTTCTTTCATAGAGATAATACAAATGAATGAATTTTAAAACTTATAAATTTTTTAATTAAAAAAATATATTTAATTTTAACGTTACATTTATATCAGTATTAATTGAAATTAAAACATTCAATATGTATTCTTCTGCAATTTAAAAACAGAATGACGGAAATCATACATATGTATAAAAATATAAATTCTTTTCTCATTTTCGTTTCTATACTACAAAAGCATTTCTCCAACTTGATATCTTTCAAATTTATTTCAACCGTTTAAAATTTTGTTTTCGGATAGTAATGAGGACTGGCTTTCGTTTTATTCAATATTGCCAAGTTTATACCGAGATCGCTTACACGTGGTAGTGTCTACATGCGGGTGGAAAGGCGCGAAATGTGTTTTGCATTATGCATGCGACGCTCAAGGGGGCATTAATCACTCGCTGTTACAATATAATTGCCGCGCATGCTTTCTCTCCGCGGTCGTAAATACAATAGCGTATAGTACGTAGAAAACATGCAATACCGAAGCTTTCCAGACAATGGGAATTATTCAAATGAATTGGCTCAGGTGATGGACAGCATCGTCCGGTCTTCGTGTCGAGCGTTTATTTTTATATTTCATTCTTGCGAGTACATAAATTAAAGAGCACCGGTATTTGCAAATGCAAAATAAGATGCACCTTATTGTAGAGAATTTGTTTATAACATGCGCGCTCAGATGCTTAAATTTTGTTGCAATTTGGTGTGTGTGAAGCCAGCATATCATGTGGAAGATCATAAATAATTGAGAGTTCTGGCTTTATTTTCAATAGTTTCTAGAATTCTTGATAATTTACAGAAATAATTCTAGCGATTAAACCGAAGAAAGTACCTAAAGACAAACTGATACGCCAACTTAACGAAGCACATCACTTTGTGATTCTACGACATTTTCTTTCTAGAACTAGTGAAAATAAAGCTATAGAACTCTCAATTATTTATGATCTTCCACGAAGTGATGTGCTAGCTTCACACACACTGCAATTTGCTAAAGATCTGTAATTTTATATGTCGTGTTACGACAGTTTATCCGATGGGAAAATAGAAAACTATTAATCTCATGTGAAAGAAACTAATGAAGCGTTTCGACTATGGTTTATTTATTTTAATAGTTTTTATTTGTTCACTGAAAAAGGGCACCGCAACATCGCGGTCATATAGATACCATGTTTAAAAATATTTTTACATTATGATCGTCCTTTGGTATTTTAATTTTTGCATATATCAGATTATTTTATCCCACATAATTATGCATCACATTCATATGTAATGATTGAAGAATTAGCTATTTAAAAAATTATAGAATATTTTTTATATTGTATATTAATCATAAATAGAAAATAATATTAAAAATTTGATTAATCTATAAATAATTTTTTTTAATATTCATCAAATAATTTAATAGATTTATAAGATTTCTATAATTTTGTGATAAATTTAGCTGATTTTTTTTTCAAGAGATTGATTTTTTAATTAGCAAATCTTTAAATGGACGAATAACAGTCAATGAATCTGTAAATTAAAACTCTTTCTTGCTGAATCTACATGGAATATTTTGTATTTTGCGTAAGGCTAAAAACCGATGAGATGCGTTTTGTAAAACGATGTGATAGATTTTTGAAAAGCAGCGAAAGAGAGCGACGTAAACAAACGTTATGACACGTTGGATTTTTCGGCCGAGCAATTGTAAACGGAACTATAAGATTCCTCGAATTAAACGCGGACGACTTTCTTCTTCGTTCTTTCTCTCTCTCTCTCTTTTATAAGAAAAATAACAACGATTCTGTTTATTCGGCGGATTCGAACTCCGGTTTTCGCATTCGTCATCGTTTTGGTCGTGGTCCAACTGGAGCCGGCCATTGCCAAGGAATTCTGGCTAGATTCTCTTCGGATATTATTCTCGATTTTTTAATCCGCGAAATTTCCATCTCACGTTGAGATGTCGGCTGCAAGAGAGAGATTCTCTTCTCTCGCGTCTCCATTTTCATCATCTTTCCCGTCTCATCTTCGGCCGACTTCTTTTAGAACCGAGATGAAATCCGAGATGAACGGTGCGCGCACGAACGCTGGAATGCAAAAGAGAGTGCATTACACGCCTTTCGACGCGGGGATCGGCTGAGTGATGTAATCTAGTGGTCCTTAACCTCCTCCGCATCTCTTGTATTCTTAGATGTTCTTACACCGCCGTGAAAAGAAACCAAATTCTTTATTTTATTTATAAAGAAGGAAAACTCGATAATTTATTTTTACTCGAAAAATTTTCGACAATTTTTTCAAGTAAAAATTATTTTTCTGTTATGTAACTTTAATTGACTCTTTTAAAAAATATTGAGAGATTAAAAACTCTCAATAAAGATATATATATATATATATATATATATATATAGACAATTAGATCTTTCATTTATAATATATGGTTTATTATATTGTCAGGAAAGATTGGAATAATAATCTAATTTATCTGTCAATCCTTGGAGAGATTCTTTGATGAAACTGCTAATATTAATATTTCCCCAGTAAATATTTTATAAATTATTCAATTTGATTTCATAATAGAAAAAAATAAGATTTTTTTCTTAACACTTCAAATTCTCTACAATTTTCACGAAACTGCTCTTTTTCGAAAAGTCTAATAATCGATTAATGAAGTTGCTATAATCATTCTCATTAAGTAATCGCGTTTTCGCGAGGACTAATAAAGAAATTACTGTATGTATCCATTTTCAATATTGAACGATGCTGATCAGCATCTTTATGAGTGTATATACGCCAACCAGATGCCGCGATTTCATTAATAAATTTCTCTTTCCCGAGAATATCGCTTTAGCGTTCTCTCGCGCGTGTTACTTGCCTTGTGAAAACAGGACGACGCAAACCTTCATTTCGTGGCCAACGATGAGAATCGCATCTGGCGTCGTCGACCAGTGCTTGAACGATTAACTAGTATTATACAGATTGTTCCAAAATTATCTGTTAATATCTAAACGTAAGATATACGGATTTTTGATGAAAAAAATTAATTAATAATTCAACTTTATATTTGCATTAATAGTGAAATTTATCGAAAAAGCTTGTTTTATTGTAGAATAAATTTCAACAGAATTTTAATATTAAATTCAATTATTGATGTTAAAATTACAGAAGTTGTAGCAATAGTTTCGCATAAATCTTTCCATCGACAAAATTAATTTTAAATGATCGCATATAGTCATTGTTAATATATCATTAAAGTATCATGATACAATTCAAATTTTGCTGCGGCCTGTACTGGTATCAATTTTGCGACAAATGTATAAATGTTTCGCACAATCACGATGAAATTACTTCAATGCATTAAGGTCACTTTACATATAGAGCATACGATGATGAATTATGTAGGTCCGTCTGTTATTTGCACTATAATGAAGTATATAAATTTCGTATCCTGTAATTAATATAGCGGTGAATATGTTATAGTATATTCACGCAGTATAGCATGCTTTATTTAATTATAAAACAAAATACCTTTATGCATCTCTCTTTTTCTCTTTTGATAATTGAAAAATTTGATTATTTTATTTTTTAATTATATTTTTGAATTATATTTATTTTAAAAAGATTACAAGTTTTAATTTTTCTAATTGTAAGAGATTATAAAAGAAAATTTTATTTTTATGTCATATTTATTTGATATATGTATATATACACTATCTTAAATTTTAAAAAGGATTTTGATAGAAGTTTTGCATATTTGAAATAAATATTAGCACAACATTAGTCAAACAATTGTGCTCTTACGCTTAAGACTTTGGTAAAGTTCAAGTTCTTGTAAAGAATCAGAGCAGTTACGTATGCACCTGTCGTATGATCTAACGTCAGTAACTGCATAACGTGACTGTGCATCGCAATATGTCACTAACCCTTCGTGTTCACTTCGTTTTTCCAGGTTACTCATAAAGTGTCGAGTCAGGTGATGGTGCTTAAGATGAATCAGCTGCCGGCAAACAGGCCGAACATGCTCAAGGAAGTCCAGCTTATGAACCAGCTCAGCCATCCGAACATACTGAGGTAAGCCTGCACGAATCTAATCTGGTTTATTTTATATTTCTTTTAATATAACTTGTGTCTTGCGATCGAAGAGAATCGCTCAGTCATACGTGCCGAATTTGATGATGACGATGAAATTTCTCTATTCTGCTTGCCCGGTTAATCTTTGCATTGCTAGTAAATACGTTATCCCGTTTTCGCGTGAGTTATTTCAATGGGAGCAAAATTCAAGAATGATAAATCATGATGTATAAATCTATCTTTCATCCAAATAAAACACGTGAATTATACATTACCGATAACAATACTTTTAGATTTTATTTAAGAAAAATAGTGGAGGACGATTAGCAGCGATTAAGTTTATTAATTTTTTATTTAGTAAATTAGAGAAATATCACACGTATATACACAAATTTATATATATATCATATGTATATATAAATGTATATATAAATTTGTATGTAGATTATATTAAGTAAATATCTGTATTTTTCCATCACCAATTTCTTTTGATTTATCACATTAGTCTGCAGCCAAAACTTCTTATGCTCACATTTGTTTTGTCCTGTCATGAATCAATTTGAAAAACTTCTTTTCGGCGTCTTGCCAAAATTTTGGCGCAAGCTCTTTGTATTAAGTTATTTTACCGTAACACATTTAACTAAACACACGTGGCAACTGTCAGAGCTTGCAATGTAAACGATATCGTAAAAGTTGTAATGAACACCAAGTTCAAGTTAAAACGTGTGTGATTCTGTGTTTGATTTATCATCTGGCAATTATATCGTTAACATTTCTTTCGCTTGGAAGACCGCTGAAATGAGCAAAAGATTAGAAAAAAAACGGTATTACGCTTTAACCACGCTCGTTACGAATTACAACATAATAATACATCGTCTAGCGGTAACAGCGGTTACCTCGACACCCGTTGCGAAAATTCTTGCTAATATCTAAAATGCAGGAAGCAGCATCTAATAATGTGCGTAATGCGCGATGTGCAATATCTTTTATTCCATAATTTGCAGATACAAAATTTAATATATAAATATCGGATTAATTGCACTACAGTATACAATACGGTTATACCATATACATTTTATTTTTATACTTGAGAGAAAACATTTCCGTTCTAATTTTAATATCGAAATTTATTTGACACGACATAGAACGAAATATTAAATTAAAATTGTGTTGAAGTAAAATATTGAATAACATTTTTTATTTTTACTTTTATTAAAAGCTTTAGTTTCAAATTTATTCTTTGAAAATTAATACATCTGTTTTCTGTCCGGATGTTTTTGTTGACAAAAGTCGATTTTAAATTTAATTAGATAATCATATGTGTCCACTTGCCGCCAAATTCAACCTCGAATAACTTTAAGTATATATAAAACTGCAAAATATGTCGTACAGATACAAGAGATACAAATAAATTCATATTTTAAAATTCGAACAATATAGAGAGAAGTCTTACATTAATTTTTTAATTTTTTGCCGAGGAAAAACGAAGGATAGGAAGGGAGATTATTTGTTTCCGCGTATAACATGCTTTTCTCATATTATGACATAACGTGCCTAACGTTGCTGGGACGTTCGGGATGCGGCGCGACGACAACGCATTCCGACGATATAAACGGCTTGGCCTAGATTCGGATACGGTGTTTACCCGTTGGGTGAACCTAGCGGATCTTATTTCTGGCATTTTCCTCGACGAAGGCCTCCGCGAAACTCGCGGGTCCTCTCAGGATCCTCCGCTTTGCGCATCGGCTGTGACTCAGCTGTAAAAATAGTTATCATCTCGACTCGCAGCTTTTACCGCTAGAGATGTATCATTACACCCGCGCTTATTACGATGTCGTAACTAAAATAGGAGTATAATGTCTATGTTTAAGTGATATTAACAAGAAAGATTGACGTTGTACTAGAGACGTCAAAAGAAGATAAATCGATATAATTTTAGATGAAATCAAATATTAATATCTGTGCATTCAATTAAATCTCTTAAGTTATATTAAACTTAATTAAATTAAAAACATTTAGTGAACATTGTCAATTTTTTCATAACATGTTAACTGCAATTGATTTTTTTATATACCAGATATTTTTATATAATGGGATAAATTGATATTATGCCTATTATCGATGATTATTACGGTATTCAATTCATCTTAATAACTAATGTTTATGTTTATTTTCTTAATAACTACTGTTAATGTTTATTTTCGAGGGAAAATAATTTTAATAATTATATTTAAATGGCTGTCGCTATGGACATTAATATCACAATAACACATCACATAAGATATCTACGGTATTATTTCAACGTAATATCAAATGCCAGGATTTCGAAGAATCAAAATATCAAACTCTGTATCATCGAGATAATATTACTACGTCGAGTATTCATTGTAGTAGTATCGTCAAAACAGCCTCCCAGTCATAATTCTTAGAACGACGTGTTAGACAATCAGCAAACGCGCGCCAATCGCTTTCACGGAGACCAGCTGAATGAAAACAACCGGACACTGTCCGAAAATATCTCACGTCTTCGAACTTTGCATAAATTCTTGCACTCAAACGTTGTTCTCAATCGATTCACCAACGCTCGTTATACACGAACGCCTCCTCTCTTTTACGTAATATTTGACTGCGGAGATTCGCCTAATCGCCTCAAGGAGACAACTCTGCTAGTAGATAAGACGCGACATAGTCAGACATTTGACTCGCCTTCCATTGCGCTCTTGACACTTGGGCTTTCAAGTTTTTTTTTTTTTTGCGCATTTGCAACTTATTATTTATGTGTATATCATGATCTGCATTTTATGTAAAATGCATATCGATATGCAATAACCAATAAGCGTAAAATAAATAAATATGGAACAAGAATGAAATTGCTCAAAAAACGAAGAATTAAAAAATATTGGAATTTTTCTAAAAAAAACTTGTAGCGAGTTTTAATACAATTATCTTCCCAATGAATCGCTTCTATTTTATTTGTATTATATTTTTATTGCATTTGCATCATATTATTTTAGCTTTCACTCTTGTAACCGTATAATCTCAAGGAAATCTTCCTCCGCATATCTCTGTCACGAATTATATGCCAAGTGTCTATTAGCAAAAAATTCCGCAACGTCTCATGATGCGGTATAATTAATGCTTGTATCGCGTATCAATCAGATGACAAGTCTCGGGAAGCGCGAGGGAAGCGACAATTTCTCTTCTTATCTGATCAACGAAAAAAAATGAAATCTGGAGCATCGCGTATGCATATACGCTTGTGTTTTACCTGGGAAAAATTCTTCGCCGGAAATTTCTCTTTCGCTCGCACCGTTTGTCGTTCTTTTTTTCCGTCGCGTGTGGGAGAAACGCGTCGACGTGCTCGGCGAGAAACGCCTCGAAATCGGGACGACACGGCGCAACGCGTGATTTTCTTCTCCTTCTCGAGCTCTACCATTTATGCAGGATCCTCGTCTTATCCCGCGATAATGTAAAGTGCACTCACCGATTAAATCTTCTCTCTGCGGGAGAAATGCAAGCAAAGCTTTCGCAATATACATATAATCAGATTATTTTTATCATGATTTGTTCAAGACTTTTTTTTAATACATTATCTTACATGTCGCTTTATGAGTATTCACTCTGTTGAAAACATTAACAGAAAAACAATTTATTTAATTATCTTTTGTTAGAATAATAATTATGACAATGTGTCATATTGATTTGAAAATATAAAAAAGCAAATTATATGATTATATTAATATGAATAAATACAGTGGACATTAGCAGTCATATATTAATTGATACTATTAATTATATATTAATGGATATATTTATCGTTATGATTTACAATTAAAAGCTGTAGTTGTAGAACTTATTGTACGACTAAAAACTTATGACTACTACTTAGAATTTATGTGTGACTTTGATTTTTTATCAGATACATTATTAAACATTAAAAAATATTAAATTGTTTCAAAGTATCTTCTGATAAGCGAGTCTATGATGTTCTTTGAATTTAATTGTTCCTAATCTATCATAATAAGAATGGCTATATAAAGATAACGTCAATGATATCGCAACGATTAAGTTACAAGGTATCTATCAAAGATGTCTAGACTTTAATCGTGTTTATTATAGAAAGCATCGTTTCGATTTAGTTTTATTACTCAATAAATGATACAATAAATGATAAATAAATATTGGAATATTTTTCATAAATAATATTTCTTTGTTTTTTTGACATGATTAATATCTTTATTAATGTCAACTGTACTTACTTAATGTAATATAGCTTTTTATCATTATTTTTATCATATTGTTGTAAACGTTTTTATTTTTATAAATTTTTATTAACGAATAATTTTTCGTTTTAAATATTTTTATTGATGTTGACATATATTAATATTTATTAATTTTGATCTATTTTTCTTTGTTTATTTTCTTATCTCGTACCGTTTTTATTTTATTTTTTATTGTTGTATTTTTAAAATATGTATTGAAGATAATAAGTATATTAAAATTTGATATAAAACGTTCTAAATATTTATTAATTTTGTTCTATTTTTCTTTGTTTATCTTTATAATATCTAATTTCGGTTTAAAATTTCTGAATCGATAAAAGCGACAAATTCTCAATCCGCTCATGTTTGCGCTTAGTAACAAATATTGCTTTACCTTGTAACAATTTTGAAAGAAACAATATTGTTTCATTAAATGTGAATCCAATCTAATCTTTGAGTTTTATATAACGAGTATAAAAATGTATCTTTTTATTTACGGATTTCCTGCACTTTTATATAAATTTTATGAAGTGAAAAGTTTCTTTCATCTAAAAATCATGAAGCTGCCTTTTATTTTCTTCTACTTTTTCACGTAAATGTATCCATTACATATTTAAATACTTTTTAAATTTCAAATACAAAAATTAGTCTAACAAATTTTTGCTCAAATTTCTATGCTTGTAAGGTAAATATTTTAATCAATATTGAAAATGAAAAGCGAATTATTATTTTGACTTATTAACATCGCGATTATTCAATGAAATGATAAAGTAAAAATAAAAATATAGTTTCGAATTGTAATTTCTTTATACATCTATTATTTTCTCTAATAATATTTTTGTGGACAGTGTTAAACGAAGAGGATTTTCTCTTAGAATTTACCCTGAAAATCAAGATAATCGTGGGACAATATGGTACTGGAAGAATTTTATAAGAGTGATTAACATTTAAAACAATAAAAAATATTAATATGTACATAGTAAATTTTACTAGGTATATAGTAAAATTAATCGAACATATTTAATATCTTTGTGATAAATATTAATCAGAGAAACTCTTATAAAATTCCAATATCATATTATCCCACGATTACCATGATTTTCAGGGTAAATTCTAAGAGAAAATTCTCTCTGCGTAGAATTCATTATTTTATCATCACGAAAAGAATGCTCTCAACCAAAGACCTTCGAGAACTCGAAGATTAATCTCTTATATTTTCCAGGTTCATGGGAGTGTGCGTGCACGAGGGTCAACTGCACGCGTTAACGGAGTACATCAACGGCGGAAGCTTGGAACAGCTGATTATGTCACGACATACGCCGTTACCGCACCTCATCCGAATGAACCTTGCCAAGGATGTGGCCCGTGGCATGGTCTACCTGCACAGTCGCGGTCTATTCCACCGTGATCTCACTTCGAAGAACGTGCTGATCAAGAAGGACGAGTGTAACAACGAGATGATCGCAGTGGTGGGCGATTTCGGGCTGGCCGCGAAGATACCAGATCCCAGCACGGGCTACAGACTCAGCACCGTCGGCAGCCCATACTGGATGTCGCCCGAGTGTCTCAAGGGCCAGTGGTACGATCACAGATCCGACGTATTCTCATTCGGCATCGTCGTGTGCGAGCTGATCGGCCGGGTGCCGGCGGATCCGGACGTTCTGCCACGCTCAGATAACTTTGGCCTCGATTACCTGGCCGTGGCGGAGATCTGCGCGGCTGCCGATCCACCGCCCGCCTTCCTGCAACTTGCCTTCAATTGCTGTACAGTGAGTATGACGATCTCTTGTAACTGTAAAGGCATGCAACATGGATCCGGTGCAAATGAAGTCGGATTATTATTATAACTGCTACACTCAGTATGAAAATATATTATGCTACGCACGCACGCATGCGATATTTCACGCAGATGTCTGTGAAATTTTATTAATTATTAGTTTGATGGAATTTTATGATTTATTAATTCGATTATTTACCGCTTATTTCTTAAATTATTGATAATATAATAATGTAACGAACGGCAAGATGTAAAATTAATTTCTTTATTTATTTTCAGTACGAACCTAAGTCTAGACCAACCTTTCCGGAGATCACGACTAGTCTAGAGACCATAATAGCGACTTGCGAAGAAGAACTGAGGAACAACATTGGTAAACGACAATCGACTGTCGATCCGACGCTGATGTCCAGCATGGATGAAATTGCGCGAGAAGGACGCACGACGAAGCGACGCACGGCAAAACTGAGAAGTCAATCGGCGGATGCGAAAGGTTGTGACAATGCAACTCCTTCCGACAAGGCGAGGTGTCACTCCGCTAGGCGAGTAGCCGAGCTCGCCAGCAGACGGGATCCACATTATAGACCAATGACGGCGAATCCATTCCACGCATTGGGAGGCGTCAAGAAGATCCTTGGTGATCTGTTCTCCAGTTGCCTGGAGCTACCCTCGCTAGAAGATGTGCGGCCTAGCGTCACTGACAGCGCATGTAGTAAGTTTAAGCCGGCGCAGAACGACAGCATTGCCAAGATCTTAGATAGGAAAAAGCCAAGTTCCGAGCCGAGCAGCCCTACTGCTAGAAAGAAGTGGGAGAGGAAAGTAAGTAGGCACAAATTAATTGCGAGGGATCACTTAACTCTTCCGAGTATATTATCTTACTGTTTTAAGCTCGTTTGTCTCATAATAAAAAATATCACATGTAATATACTAATATACACATTGTCCTTAGGTTGCTACCAAGGTAGGAGCCGCGAGTCTGTTCACCCATCCGCTCTTTCGAGACGGTTGGGAACCGCGAAGACGCGGCAGCTGCGAATCAGGTTTCTGGAGCTGTGTCGGCGAGGATCTGAGTCCAGAGCCACCGAACCGACGGCACACTTCGACTCTCAGCAGTTCAGCGGCAAGCAGCCTATTTCTGCTGGATGATCATCGAACCAGCTCGATCTATACAGACTCCTCCGAGGACATTGCCAGCTTAGGTGGCGGCGACTCGTGCTGGGAAGAACGACTAAACGGCATTGGTTCCTCAAGCAAGACCATTTCGAAAATTGTTGAATACTTTGAGAGAAAGCAGGCGATGGCGGGTCGGCTCGGCGAACACGGTGATACCGCTGGTCCCAGCCGCTTGACCCTGCTGCGGGCCAGTCTGGAAGGGCCACTCCCTATCAGCAGCATCTCAGCCGCGCAACGGCTAGTCGTGTGCGAAGGTGCCGTACGTAGCAAACTCGCATTATTCGACAAGAAGTGATATTACGCTTGACAGTCAAACGACATAATATCACTTCTTGTCGAATAATGCCATAAGTTTCTTATGGCATTAACCATCGATGCTCAAAGAGCACGCGCGTGAAAAACGACACAACTCTTGGAGAGAGTTGGCCCCGTCGTCGAGGCTCATCCTCGTTACTTGAGACGTTACACGATAATTAGATAGGTAACGCGTTGCTACGCACGTATAATTAAGAGAGTGGAGAACAAATGATAGTTACATTAAAGATAATAGTAATCAATCTTATTGCACATATAAGATTACAACAGGTAAAAAGGAAAGGGTTAATAGCATCAGCGCGTCATGCGTGATTTGTAGGCAAGATAGTTGATGCGCGCGCACGACGTGCTAAAGGACATTTCTCTAAAAACCTAATAACCTGACTGTGATGTTTTTTGATAATCTACATACATACATACATAATTGAACTGTACGACTGAAATTTAGCGGAGCCATCGGCATACAGGATCTTTTATACGCTACATGAATCGCGTTTCATGCACTCGGGCTATAACGAGATATTGTTTGGAAAAGAAAGGGAGAGGGAGAGAGGACGAAGCAATAGCGAATTTCGTTTGAAAAATGCGTTCGAGATTAGCGCCAGCGTAGCGTTAATCGATTGCTCGCGATCGACATACGTTTTGCAGTGCCTCGCAGTTCCTAGAAACCATCTCCGTCTTTATGCACACGAACCGTGGATATTATCGATCACTAGAACAGAGCTATTCAGATGGACGATGTGAGTGCAAATTATTTCTTTTTATTTAAATAGGCGAGTAGGCAAATTATCTTATCTCGCCATTCTTAATTTTGTGGTTAATATTTGCAATTAATTTTGTCACTTTATTACGCTTGTTTTTTTCTTTTTTCTAATGTGTTAATATAATGCACCTTATCAATTTTTAATTCTAAATTTTTAATGTAAAGATATTTCAAAATATCGACCTCTTATTGCAGCTATTCTGAATTTATTACGAGTTATATTGAAATGAATAGATTTTATCAAACATTTACATATATAATAAGAATATCAAAATTTGTTGAGAATTCATTTTAATATTCATCAAGTATAACTTATACTCTTAATTTATAAAACTATGTTTTAAAAATATAGATTATTTGTATAGATTCAAAGTATGCAATTATTTAAGAACTGAAGAAGACCATTATCAGTTTATTTTGTTAAACACGAGGATAATGGCATGCAGTAAATTTATGATGATATGACGTACGAGAGGAATTTTTTTAAATTTCTTTTTTCTTCTGATTATCTAACATGCTGCAATGAGAGGTCAGAGGATGATTCATTTACAGAGGCCTACGTTGCGTTTCGCAGGATTCTCGTTTCGTTTTCGACTCGACAGATTAACATCTACGCGGCGCAACATTTGTCGTCGGTGTGCTTACGCACTTTCGCAATTTTGCGTGTCGTGACGTTAATAGCTCGGGACGCGCGGTATAAAGTGCCGGAGAGACACATAACGATAATATATATACATATATATTTTTTTGTTAATAGAGATATTACATACCGTGTCCTGGATATCCTTGTTAAAGGTGTTATGCGGAACCGAGAGAATTTGTGTCCACTTTAAAAAAAAAGAGAACATATGAAACTGATCTAGTCAGTGTATTAATGTGGCGGCCTTATCTTTTATACGTTGTAGCGCTAAAAACTTAATGTTTAAGGTGAAACGGCGAGCGTAAAATGAGTGCGAGATGAAACTGGGCTCCCCTAGTAGTGCGTAGTGGTTTTTTTAATATCAGGATATTTATACAATAGAAAACGCGAAAGTGAGAGCGAGTATGAAACAAAGTGAATTGAGGTGTATTGCACCTGTGTGTGTCCGTGCTGCGGAAAGAAAGTGTACACGTCCAAAATGATATACATAGGTAGCTAGGACTGACACATACACACACACACATACGTACATATATATATATATATATATATATATGTATGTATGTATGTATAAATGTGAATTGTTTCGTCAGACGGCGAGTCGAACCAAATCTACGATCGTAGAGTAATAGATTAATATAATATCTTTTTACTCGTCGAAGTTCGCTCACGGGTTTACATAAGACTGTGCGTTCGTTAAGTAATATGTCGTATCTAAGATAGAGAAACTCGAAATCGCGTCAACGACATTCGCAGTCTCTTCTTCCTCGTGTACAATAGGATGCGCGTCGTATACAGAGTTTTTTTTCTTTTCGTTCGTTTTAATTTTCGCTCATCGAGTCGGGGCCTTCCGTTTCTCCTCGATCTGCGTCAATCGGTACCTGAACAATCGCAGCGAAGGAATAACTGCGAACGAGTTAGTTCTTAAGCATGCGGACATATCAGGAGTATGCGCTGAGGTTTAACCCGATCGATAAAGCGCAATAAATGCGTTACAAATGACAGATGTTGCGGATTATGAGTGCGGATGAGTGAGTGAATGTGGAACGAGGGAAAGAAAAAGAGAAAAAAAATTGAAAGCGAAGTTGACGGATCGAGAGGCGCATTTTAAAAAAGAAATATGGGTTATTTATTTAAAGTAAAAACAATTATATTAAAGATTATATATATATATCTATATCTATATATAAATCTACGCAAAAACATCGTCTCTTCCATATTTTTCAATTGTTAGTCTAAAATGTCTCTTCTCACTGTATATATTTATTATGTTACGAGGGGATACACACCCGGATATCTCGGACTCCCTCGTGATTAACCGCGTTGGTCGACGAGATATATACACAAAAGTTAACAGTAAGCGCACTATGAACGATTTTCGTGATCACTGATCACTGGTCACTAACTTACAAATTGGAATATAAATAAGCGCGAGAAAAAAAGAAAAAAACAATGGCGATGATGGCGCGATGATAATAATAGTTGTAATGATTTATAGTAAAAGATGAAGCTATTATATATACATATATATGTATATGTATATATGTATATATAAATAGCTGTGTAAAAAATCCTATATATATATACAAAGGTAATAAAGTTAAGGGTTCCCAATTTTTACTAAAAGAAAAAGTTATTTAAAACTTTTCTAAAACCATTAAGCTTTTAGCGATCCTAATAACCAAAGAAAAAATTTGGCGATTTTTCCATGATTTTCATAATGTTATTTATCATATTGTGTAAAAAAGGGACATTAATTCGATATCAGCAAGATGACACAGAAAGTATCATAAAAGACAAACATATTTTTCTTTGTTAAGAATTGTACTTGAGATCTCTCATCTTATCTTGCATTTTTCTATATCCGATGCCTTATTATTATCAAGAAATCGCGCATTTAATTTTGAGACAAAAATTATAAGAGACAGTACGAATAGATTTTAAATTTATTTTAAATTAGATATTTCTCTTCCTCTCAATGTAAATTATTAATAACAGTATAGCGACAAATTCTATTTTGAAATAAACGCCATTGTAATCAGACTAATCATTTTCGTCTAAAATCATCATTGACAGATCACTCTTGCGTAGCTAATTTTGAAAAATAACTTCGCTAAAGCAAAACAATCTTACTTATTTTATTTGAAAATAACAGCATGCATTTAAGATTCTATTCACAAAGAAAATAGTATCTGGTTTCTAAAAATACTAGAAATATTATACATGCAAATATTTTCATTTGATTAAAATAATGCCAAGAATAATCTTTCGTTCTTCAATGGAGTAACAACAACCTCGTGAATTTTTCTACACTTACATTCTTATTTCTATAATAAACAACGACGGAATAATTCAACCAAATTAATGCAAGATTATTCAATTTATAAAAAACAAACGAGAAATTTTTTCTAATTATCGGAATAATATCAAATAGTACATGTTAGAAGCTACAACGAAAAATATACGTTTTGCGAATATTTCATCATTGAACAATCTTTTGAGTTTTATTTTTCAGTGAATCTGTAGCGACCATAATGTCAACGATCTCTTTCCATCAACGAGTAAGGCTTGCCCATATCTTCTTCCGGGATCAACGGTATATATCTCGTCCTGGGATCGTTTCTTCGCTCGTAAGCGTACGGGAACATCATCGTGGATTTCATCATCATCCTGGCACTCTTCATCGTCTCCCTCGGAATTTTTTGTATATGCGAAGCAGTCGTGGACTCTGAAATATCATGGGAATTTGTCGTCTCCTCCAGATCAAGCAGAGGTATGAATTTTCTCTCGTATGTATTCGGGGGGGTCGTGGTTTCCTCTTTAATCTCGGAGATTACATCTTGGGCGGATTTCTGCGAATTATCGACATCAGGCTCCTTCCTGGCTGTTTCTTCATCTAACGTCGTTGAATGAAGTCGCGCAGCCGTCAACGCTTCAGCGTCATTCTTGAATGTAATTGGTATCCAATCGCCGTCGACTTTCGCTTTGGAATTCGCGTCTGCCGAAAAAGTCCAGTCGCGGCTAGAATCAACAGACCAGTCCAACGATCGCGAGATATTCAAGTCTCTTCGCGACGAAGTATTCTTCGTCGACTCATCGATCGGCCGCCAATCGCCGTCCTCACGACGGATCTCGGCCGTTCTCGCCTCCGATGGATCGGTGAAATTAGCATTCGCTACTTTCTCCGGATACACAGCCTCGACTATCACCGGCGGCGCTTCGACTTTCGACATATTATACTCGTTACTTACGTTTTCGCCGTTCCCCATCGTTTGCGTCCTCGATTTAGAGTCCTTGTAACGCCTTCCATCTTCAACAAGGCCGAACGACTCGTCGGATTTACGTTGCTTCGTGTCTTTTTGCAAGAACTGATCATTATTCCGCTGTCGACCGGTCGTCTTGTCGATCTCACCGGAAGCGTCGGTGTTCCTCGACTGCGCTGCATCACCGAGGAGAGGAAAATACTTGGGCTCTTCGTGAGACCGCATCCCAGTCATGAAACTCGGCGTGTACTGCGAGATGAAAGGCAGCAAGGTCTGCCGAGCATATCGTTCGGCCTGCGCCAGGATACTCGCAAGTCGCTCGGGCAAGAATTGCACGGTGAACGACCTGGTGGAAGTGGACGACGTTTCCTGTATCTCATCGCGCTGATCATCGAACTGTTGGAACACCGCCTCGTTTCGCATGTTGTGCCTAGTAGCACGTGGACGCAGGATCGGCTCCGTGATCTCGGGCAACTTCAGCGATCGACCGGTCTCCTTCTTGTTCGGTCGCAGCACTGGTTCCCTGATCTCTGGCAGTAATTCCGTGCTCATTACAGTGGAGGTGCTGGTGGCGGTGGTGGTAGAAGTGGTGACGTTAGCTTCAGCAACCGGCTGCATCGCCGTGTGATAGATCAGGTTGGCGCCGGAGAAGCTTCGTCCGTGCTCCGAATCGGCGTTCTCCAGGGAGTTCGAGTCGCCATCGCTGGATATGTCCAGGACAGTCCAAGGATTCGGGATGTTGCGCCTCTTCTCCGTATTCTCTGCGAAGGCCATCGTCTCGACCTCGACGACGCGTAAATTTTGCTCCTTCGTGAACGGACCGAGATTTTTCCTCTGCGCCATTCTGTCCGTCGAGAGAACTTCTACGGAGTATCCGGAGTCCTTCGTCTCATAATTCTGCTCCTTCGTAAAGGGTCCTATGCTGCCCGGCTGCTGTTGCTGCTTCTCCTCGACCGTTACGTGTTCGTGCGCCGATGCCGAGGCCATGGTGGAGTTCTCAATGTCCAAAGGAATATTGCACTCGCCAGGGTAAAGAGGGAGGTAGACTGGACGGTCAGATTCCAGGATCAAACCCTTTTGACAAACTGACAGAGTCTTGCCGAAACTGTCAATGATAGCCACCTTGTCGATGATCCAGGATACTAAGCCAGATGATATCCAGCCACTATACGCCGTGTATTTGATCTTGATAAATCAAAATATAATAATTAGATAAATTAATTTTATATATTATCATTATTCTTAAAAAATATTAAAATTTCCCGATTAATTTTAATATAATAGAGAGCAGAATTTTTTAAAATTTGCAATATCTTTTTACAAAGAGCGTAATAAAGAAACTGCGTGAATAATAATTGCGCATCTAATTGCGCTAATTGCATTCATCCATTCGTATCAATTTAATGCTCAAGGCAAACATACAGAGATGCATATCATAACTTACTTCGATTGCTTCAAGATTAGTAACTGTAGGATGAGGCACAACAATTTTCTGTAATATGGCTCCTACCAAAAGTTCTTCGTCCTTGCGTGTCATCGCGAATGTGTCATTATAAGAATCTTTTCCCACAAGTATGATCTAAAAAACAACAAAGACTGAAATTTTGTCTTCAAAATTTACGCATGCGATTCTTCAGCTACTTGTCTAATAAATGACGTCTAATGTAAAACAGATTCGTAAAAATCATTAGCAACAAAGATAAAATAATCAATAATTTTTAATTCAAAATTGCGATACATTGCGAATATACAATATTAAAAATTGACAAGAGAAGAATCGAATTTACTAGCTACACAGCTCGCGGAAAATACTCGTCTCTGGTGCTCACCTGAATCTTGCCATAAGTCTTGACGGATCTCTCGTTGCGACTGTTGTATACCTTGATCTGATACTGATGAGCGCAAAAAGGCTCGTCTTCTCGAGTCATCAGATAGAGCTTACCCCTGGCAGACGATTCATTACTGTAATAACCCATGTTACCGCATGACCGATCCATGCTATTCTTGCTGCAAGGGAAACATTCGCCCTTCAGCAAACCCTCGTAGCCCTCGTCGCAGGGAAAAGCCGGGAATCGGCATTTCGGGCTGACGGAATCGGTGAAAAATTTGTACGCTCGTCGATGATTGCACAGCGATTTTCCTTCGACCGCGCTCGCTAAAACGATCACATTATTAATGCCAAACTAATTCGTTTCATCAACTTTTAATTTGTTTTTCATTGCGGTATATCTGAGAAATAGCGTCATAAAATGCATCATAAAATCCAACAGAAGATCCGATTTAGAGAACACGATAAAAATGCGATATCACGAGAGTGTATATCGAAAAGAAAAAAATCTACGAGATCTTCTCTAAATTAAACTTAAAGAAATTCTATGATAAAATGCCGCAAGAAATTCTTACACCAGATGATGTCAGAAACAGCGCCAAGGAAGATGTTTGAGCATCCACTTTGCACTTTTCCGCCATTTGGATAATAATCCACATCACCCATGGGCTGCCAAGAACCGAGTCCGCCCAAAATGAGCTGCTCGCCGTTGCTGTGAATAACATCTACGAAATTTGCATCCGTTGCATCCAGACGAGCCCTCGTATCTTGCGACTCGAAAAGTGGCCCTGCAGGATCTAATCCTATTTGCATGCGAAAACAGGTAATAGTCATTGCAACGTGCCCCGCATAAAACTTCATCTACAAATTATATAATTAAGATACTTCTCTAAATTAAATTTAAGATACTGATTACGTAGACATTTTTAAAAATAGATGCAATTTGGAGAGAAATAATACCCTTTTGAAAAATGTGATAAGCGATTTACGAAGAAAAAGTTGATGTCAAATTTAAGAAAAAGAAAGAATTTTATTTCTATTTAATTATCCACTTTATATATACTGCTAGAAGTAAAGTGATAAATAAGCATACTGTAAAAATATTAACCGGTTGCTCTTAAAAGTCTACATGATTACTAGAATATACTTTTACTTAATGTGACCAACTACCGTTTGTTAAACTCACTCTCGCATCGGTGAATGTAGGAAATTGTGATAAAAAAACGCAAAAATAATCGTTTCTCAATTTTACGCGAAATAAACAATAATTAAAAATACAAAAGACGTGTCGATGGAAAAATTTCGTTTGCTCTGATGATCCACAAGTTTAAAAAATATATATTTCTAGAAAAATCTGAACAAATATTGCGTTAAACGAGAGAGATTGTATAAAAAAATATATTGATAACAAAGTGTAATTTGTCATAAAAATAGGTAGAAAAAAATGGCAAAAATAACTGTTTCAATTTTATATTGTGAGATGTCATTGAAAAGGCAAAGAATATAGCAGCGGAAGGATATTCTTCGGTCTAATAATCTCTTTTGAATAAAAAACATCCGTTTCATTTTGTCGAAATCCGATTGCGTGTGTCCGTATAGTAAAAACGCACAATCAATTCGTTGTGGAAGCCAGTTGTGGTATTCGATCAAAAGGCATCGACGCGTGTCGAGGTAAGAGGCGGAATGCAACGAGCATTTAAACGCCTCGAAATAGTTGCTCAGCGGGACCTTGTTACAGTTACTCTCGAATAATCGATTTTACACGCGAGTTAATGCGGTTCGATTGACGAAATATCTCGCGCGCGAGAAATTCGCGCGAAAATCCTAGTCGACGCTTCAAATCAACGCAAGCACAGACAAGTATGACGAACCTGATTGATAATACCGTAACAGGGAATAACTGTTGTGAATGCACCATAGAGAATAGATTGCACGCGACACAATAAATTTTATCACAGAATGAATTGAGAGTGATCAAAGAATATTTTATATTAGAATTACTTCATTTCTTTATCAAATAAAATTATTTTATTAATATAAAATTATTTTATTAAATTTTATAAAACAAGGAATTGAATTTTTAAAAGAGACATATAAGAAAAAGAAGCTTAGCTGTATCAAAAATTAAATTTTATCTATTGACTGAAAAGTTTACATGAAATTAAAATACGCGCGAATTTTAACAGTTGTTATTGTCTGATATTTTCTTGAAGATAGATCAAAATACTTATTTATATTTATTAAATTTTTAAATAACAAAAAAAGTACGTAACACCTGATAAATTGATTCGTACGTATTGCAATTCACAATTTTCTAAATGTCAGTGTATTTACGTAAGCAATTAAGCTCTTAATTTATTAGTATTTAGCTAAAGTCTGCAGTATCTCTACAGTTCTCTTATAATTTAATTTTATTTGAGAAATACATGAATGAAAAATATTTGTGCATAAATATTTGACATACCGGTTATTCTAGATACATTTCCTAGCTCAGCACCAGCGAATCCTGCGACGTGCGCACCTAAGCTGAAGCCTATGATGTGCACTTTTTCCAACGGCACGTTCAAGTTACGAATTAATTTTGCCAATTGTCGACCCACCAGTCGTGTATTGGCGGCTGCCCTTACATAATTGGGCACAGCGCTACCGGGGCCCCAATCCACACAAACTAGAATAGTGTGTATTATATTACGTATACATATGTGTATACAATTATTTGAAATGAGATCGCAGTTATATTCGGCTATTATATTCATGATTAGGAAAACGAAAAGCAAATATCAGTTGCTGTATTGAATTATGATCGCATCATATTGCATACGAACAACATAATTATGCAAATTATTTAATGCCAACGTTTGATACGATTAGACTGTAATCGAAAATTAACAGGCACAAATTTAGTAGATAATAAATCGTTGTGTTAGAAAAGATTTAATACAGCGGGAATGTGATTAAGTTTACTAGGATTCTATATGATGAATAGATATAATATTAAATTTTCTTTGCAAATTTTAGTAGAATTTTAGTAGAATTTGAAATGTCAGAATTAAACTCAGCTGTTCGATACGTTACTTAATTATAAGTTTTGTCACGTAAATACCTATATTGCAGTCCTGGATGCTCATTAATGCTGATCTCATATCATACACCCACAAGTGATGGCAATGACTTCCAAAGCCATGAACGATGACTTTCGTGGGTAGAACGGGATCTATGGCACGATGTGTATTGTCATTTATTTCATCGGCAGATACCTCCATAGGGATCGATCTTGCCCTTCTAGTTCCGTATATAAGGAATCTATTTTTTTTTAAATTTTACAAAATTATACAATAAATTCATATTTGATATATAAATTTGTGGGAATGGGTACCAAATATTGTAATATCAAATAATAATACTAGATAATATAGAAATATAATTCTCTCATGTAACGCATTAATACACGCACGCACGCATACGCATATACTTTTATTCTCATGGATTTACTAGATAGATATTATTTTTTTACCTGGTTCCGACGTCCTTCGGTGGTGACGGTAACATTTCCAAATAACTGAAAGGCCCGGTATCCTCGAAGCAACCGACGTCCTCGTAACATACCTTGGACACTTCTCTTTTCTTCCTGTGATAGAGCGTCTTGTGAAGAGTCCATTGCCTCATCGATTCGACGACTGCGCGAAAAATTTCCGCGTCGTTCATTTCGTCCGCGTCTAAAGATGAGAATTGTCCCGCTACGGGATCTACAGAAATATTGTTACATTATATTATGAGATGATGAAGGTACGCAGTAGATGGGATCTTTTATTTTGCATTACATTTTATTGTACAAAATTTTCCTAACACTTTGCAAAAGTCGAACAAAGAAAGCCATTAAAGAATCTATCATTTGTTTGTTATTAAAAGTTAATAGTCTGGCAAGAGTTAAATTTTTAAGAGGAGGAGTGTAATGAGCCATGTTCTGAATACCGTTTTTTAATTCTCAAATGTGTATGACTTATTTAAACACGTGCTGGTTAAAGAGCGTTTCGGTCGATGAAAATAGTAACGGCTTCCTCGGTTCACGGCTTGTGGCCGTTATTGTTATTAGCCTAACACCTGAATAATAATTTCCTGGAACGCACCATAGCGATATTTTATATTTAAATGGGTATTCCCGTTTTCTAGACTATATCGATTATTTGCTACTAGTATAATAGACACTCTCGGAATTTAGTTGCAATCTGTAACGACTGTATCAGATCAAATGCAACTGATAAATATTGACTTTCAATCACTATCTTTGAGAAAATAATTTTAATCAAAGGATACTCTCTTAAACTAAATCAGTAAAAATATTTAATTAAAGTAGTAACAAGATTTTACCAAAAATCAGTAAGCACTTTGCTCTTTCGTCTTATATTTTGTTAATAGTTGCAATAAGATTTCGCAAAAATGAACCATTTTTGTGAAATCATTAATTCATTAATAATAGTTCATTATTTTTAGTGCTTTACTTATACTACTTAAATATTTATGTATTTAAATAATACTAAATATACTTATATATTAAAATCACTATTTATAATAATAATACGTTGATTCTGCTTTGAGAAAGTAAGCAGCAAAGGATTTTTAATTTTATAATATTATTGTAGTATTTTTTAATTCTATTAGAGAGAGAGAGAGAGAGAGAGAGAGAGATACACATAGGATTACATAATTGTGAATGCACAGTATTATTTTAACAATAAGATCATTTTAAACATCTATTTGATAATCACCATAAATAAAAGTTTATCAGATTAAAAAGAATTTATTTACGCGCTTACGTATAACATAATTTCCATAAAAAGACAATCGATGAAAAATTGTGACTGACGGAAAGCGTAGCGCGCGCAGTGTGTCATTAAAATCATCGTGCGAGTGTATTTAAGTGCAGTGATTTACATGTTACCTATGTTTTACAAGAAACCACTTGATGCCACTGGCAACGTAAACGCGGAAGACGCTTAATCGCGAAATGATAGTACAACATATGACAACAAGTGGACGCCTGTCATTAAGCCCTCGTGAGAAAGTTGGAGCTGTCAGCACGATTGTAAATTCGCTGAGTGCATTAATGCGTAATAAGAATATAATTTTCTCTAAGATACTATCCGTCACTTGCTGTTAGGTAATAATACCTTGATGTTATAACATTGTATGACAACACTATATAGAAATTAAGAGAAAAAAGATTTGCTTCGCTTTGATATTAATTCTAGAAAACGCTAAGAATTTGATTAGAAAAATAGAATTAAACAAATAAAAGTATCGAAAAACATGCATCCCAGTATTAGTTCTTCCATGCAATTTAATATCTTTCATCAATTCATTTCAAATATCAAATTTAAAAAATTAACATTATTAAAAAGCGATACTAAATCAAAATATTTTAGGAAGCGTTGAAATGCTATATTTTTCAAAATATATGCATAGATTTGCATATCTTTAGTTATGTATCAGCGCTAAAACATTACAACGTTTTATAATTATTTCGGAGTAAATAATATATATTTCCTGCTCCGAAGTGGGTGAAGCAATACTGTTACAAATATGTATTTTGGTGTGTAAAATTTGTACAAAACTTGCAATGCCTATCTCACTTAACTTTGCCAATTATTCGTTTATCCTCGATAAAGACAACTATAATCACTCGGAATGACTTCGGAAATTCTACTGCGCATATAATGTTACGTAAATATACGCAACCGTTCGATAATTTTATATTTAGCGACAGCCGCAGCAATGGAAATTACTGCTTGTATCTTTCGAAATTGTTCCTTATTTATAGATTCCTGAAAGACAAAACTGCTACGTTCATATCCTTTGATTATCCTAATGATTATTTGATAAGCGTCATAAGCGATTTATGATTTTTCACCCGATTCTACGTTGACATAAAATAAATGGGAAGTGGATTGTCACAGACAGCTGAGAATCAGCTGGAAAGTGGTGACACTTAACTCTTAGAAGCACAGGTCTTGGACGATACATTTGTAATGACTACGCGCAAATTTTATGTCACGTCACGTACATAGGGTGTCCCACTTCTGTCACATTATTTTTAATGACAGACTTTGTGACCAACTTGGGGTCGATTTTTCTTCAACGAAGAATGTCGAGGCTGCATACTTTTCTACTATGGTGATTAAAGATAACGGGCCTTTGCGGCAAACTAAGTCGTATTTTTCAGATTCGCTTAGGTTCAAAGAAGGCATGACTTTAGTAAATTTTTAATTGCCGTGTCTCAATTACAAAGTCGTATACCTTCCGGGTATGCAGACTCGATCATTTTCTACCGTTGTTCTCTATCGTCTCGAACACTTGACATGGTTAATATCCGTCTCTTTGCGGGCCAAGACGTCGTCGGTATATCCTGAACTTATGACCCAGATCTGACCGATATTGTCTTCGGAGTGGAAGAAAAAAGTAGCGAATCGGAAGTCGTGAATGCCGACATCGAGTGCATCGCATTAGATTAACATCGCGGCGGGAGCCGCTTAATGAAGTCATGGGAATGAGTTGGCAGACTGATTGACGCACAGTCTAATTAAGACGCATAAAAATAAAGCCAAGACTAGTTCGAGTCGAGGCGCTCGTTTTACAAAGGAACCAAAAGGAAGCAAAAGAATCACCGTCATCTCCGATGCCGTCAGACTAGTCTATCAGATTGCACGAGAGAAATTGGCAAAAGGAAAATTGGAAAGGCCTTCGGGAGATTTCCCGGTTGGAAGAGTATCGACCATCGCGCGATAATGACTTAAGCGAGTCGCTCGACTTTTTGCTCGCTCCGCAAAATAAGCGGTGAAAAAGGGAAATCACCCCAATACCGCAGACAGGGAGAAGAAATGATGTTTACAACATAACATGACGTGTTTATGAGGAGAGCGATTCGTTTCGCCTTTATTTATACCGATATACTTAACAATTTGCCTCGTGTATTAATATCAAAATGATTGATTGATTTATCTCAAGCTTCATGTTATTCTTTATCGAGATAATTTCTCAAATAGTATATTTGCACTTTCGACTAATATTTTATCATTGAGAAAAAATAAATGTATATCATATTTTATATTACATAAGTTGCACTATTGTGCGATTGTATCTTATATCGCTCACTTTCGTAATCGATGATGCAATATGCCTTAATTAACTGTTATGTTTTGTGTAGAAAGAAAAACAAAAACTCTGTCGATTAATCACTTGATTATATGTAAAGAAAATCTTCCGGGAAAGATCAATTCAAAGATTGCTCGAAAAATAATATTCAACTTTCGATCACAACAAAGTTCATTTTGGAGAGATCGGCGAGATTTAATAAACAATAATCGTTAAGTTTTTATCCGATATCCGGCGCACGATATACAGTAAATTGCCTTACGGTACAGAGGTTATTCCTTCGAAGAACCGTTCGATAAGTACGCATTTTTCACTTCTTCGTTATTTATAGTGGATTTTTTTCCTCGTCTATTTATTGAACTAATCATGAGTAAAGATACGATAGATACAAAATAGATATATATAAAAATAGGATATATATTCTTACTGCGCAAAGTTATTGATTATATAATCTTATTTTACTTATTAAATAAACATAAAACGAAAACACAAATCTAAGTTTCGGCACTCGAGCGTTGCGCGAAAATGTTATCAGCGATACAATTTCATAGAAAGGTGTCGGGTATCAAGATGTCCCAGATTCACCGCCTTTCCCTTTAATGGAACTGACCCGAGACAAGACTAATTACAAGAGGGATCGGGCAGATGTGTAAATGTTTCTCTTTTTTTTTATGTTTTACAGGTTACTGCCTACGGCAACTACAGTTAGTCTACAAAAATATAACGCGACCTTACATCTGGGTTGGAATTTTATTGTAACGGAAGTTTGACTCGTCAAACATCTGGCGAGTGAGACCGTTTCTTCATAGCAAATCGATACCGGCTAATTCGTGATGATCGTGCGAACGTTCCTAATTAGGGGAGAGGCTGGTTAAATGACGATGAACACATCGCCAAAGAGAAGAGTTAACGGTACGTCAGCGAGGCCTCCTTAGAACGGGATCTGAAGAGTGTCTTCGGTACTTTTTATCAGCAAGCATGCACGAAAAATACACACACTTGTCACATTTAGACGCGGGTCCGGATTCATTATAATTAGCCGAGCCGCAATACAATTCCTTGGCACAAACCAGTTGCGTCTAAAAAGTAGTATAATGTTATGCGAGAGCGTCATTAAGAGGGCAACTCACGATTCATTGATCATTTCGACATACTATTGGAAAGCGAAATGTGTTATACAGTTCGTCTTTCGATGTTAGTCGGCATTTCGTCAATTGTATTTCGTTCACTGAAAAAAATTATTAAATTTGAATAAGTATTTGTTTCAATACTGCTAAATAAATCATTTATTTGAAACTAATAATATTGATTTGATGTGAAAAAAATATTTATTTAATATAAGAAAATTCTTTTTAAAACAAATAAATATTTATTTATTTCAAATAATTTATTAGGCAGTATTGAAGTAAATATTTATTAATTTAATAATTCTTTTTCAGTGTTGTGATGGCTTGATTCTACGAAGAGTCGTTTTGAAATCAACAGGTTTGCAATTTTATTGATGCAACATTTAGTAATATATATATATATATATTATTCAGCCACTTTTGACATTTGAACAATTTGTTGTTATCTGTGATAATTATGATTTCGTCGC